TAACTGAAATCTCATGGAAAATTTCAAAGCGATCAGAGCTATATTTCCGCCCTCTAGTGTGGTAATGGGTTACTAAATAATTGGTCTGTTCCCGTACTGCAAGAATCAGGGGTAAATATATACGCTATAGAATACAAATTTTGCAATTTTTCACACAAAAGTTATGGTCCATTTGACCCGCTAAGTATTGACCGATCTTTATCAAAACAGGCATCCTTATTCTTTGGCCCAATCCCCTTTTCCATGCAAAAATTCACGTTGTTTGGGCCATAATTGCGGCATCTGGAGCGACCACCGACAAAAATAAAGTTTTTGGTCCATTTCAAGCCCTAAATATTTACCGATCTTTTCTAAAAACAATAGGGGTCTTTATTGACCAGAACCCATCCTACATGCAAAATTTCGTGAAGATTGGTCCATAACTGTGGCCTGTATCGTGTTTACAAATTATAATGGACAGACGGACTAGATCGACTCAGCTAGCGAGATATGACGATAGGTATACAAACTTTTTGGGCTATAAAGCTATAATACCCTGACAACATAGCTGTGTAGGGTATAAAAACTAATTAATTTTTTTTGAAACTGAGAATGGGTGGGGTCTCCTTAAAGCACACAATTTCTTCAGATGTTTTAACTTGAATTTTTTGTTTTCATTCACTTTAAGTTAAACGAACTATGTGGTGCGTGTTTATCAACATAAACGTCCCCCCCCCTACTGGCCTAATTGACAATGCTCGTAAAATTGGGTAATTAAAAGGACGGGCTTGCGTGTTGCCAAACTGCCCACAGACACTGAAAGACTAAAACATTCATAGGAATAGAATCAAATCGACAGATATACGGATGGTAGATAATAAAAAAAAAAACACAGTTGAGTTCTATTGATATCCTGTAATTGGCTATCGCTATGGTGGTTGTGACGTAATAGAAATCAGAAAAAATATGTATTGCAAAGGATTGTATATGTTTTGAGAAGAAATGGGTAAAAAAGATTTCAAGTTCGTTGAATATGAATTTTGTTACAACCGATAGGCCAAATTTTAGCCACTTCCATAAAAAAATTGGCTAAACATTTAGTAATACAAAACCAGTGAGCGGAGCAGTATAGTCGGACGGGACCGACCATGCCATACCCTACACAACTACCACGAACTCTAACTTTCTGAGGATGTTTATTCCGAGTCTGAGTAATATTTCGTGATATTTGCCCCCTCTTGTCCGATTAGAGGTTAACAACACCTCTTCCTTACTTTTTTCGAATATTCAGTACAGTCCTTCTAATTACTTGTCCAGATTACCTTCACGGTGGGTTGTGTTGTGATTTTCGGATTATACTCTACTCGAAAACACACAAAAAATTATGTTTTCGGTCCATTTCATCCCAAAATTTTAATCTGATCATCACCGAAAATTATAGGCGTTGTTCTTGACCATAACTGGAACTTCATGAAAAATTTCAAAGCCATCAGCGCGATATTTCTCCCTCTAATGTGGTAATGGGTTACTGAATAATATCTGAATACGTAAGCACCTGTAAATATTTGACTGTAACTCCCACATCTGAGTAGATACATCACTATATTTGGTATCAATTTAAAGGCCAACCACTCCTCTTGGATGTGCTATCAACTCCTGGGGTCAACATCCTCCAGGAGTAAATATATATGCCATAGAATACAAATTTTGTCATTTTTCGCACAAAAGTCAGGGTCCATTTGACCCGCTAAATGTTGACCGATCTTTATCAAAACATACATGCTTATTGTCTGGCCCGATCCCCTTCTTCATGCCAAAATTCGCGGTGTTTGGGCCATAATTGCGGCCTCTGGAGCGACCAGAAAAACCGACAAAAATTTAGTATTTGGTCCATTTCATCCCCTAAATATTAACCGATCTTTTCCAAAAACAATAGGGGTCTTCATTGGCCAGAACACATCCTACATGCAAAATTTCGTGAAGATTGGTCCATAACTGTGGCCTGTATCGTGTTTACAAATTATAATGGACAGACGGACGGACGGACGGACACACATGTCTAGATCGACTCAGCTAGTCGAGATATGACGATCGGTATACTTAAAGGTGGGTCTAGGACCAATATTTCGCGGCGTTACAAACATTTGGGGCTGCACAAAGCTATAATACCCTGACAACATAGTTGTGTAGGGTATAAAAAGGGTTTGGATATTTTTTTGTGAGGGTTATATCATTGGGTCTGTAATCAATTGTCTGGAATGGCAAGATTTTACTGTATTTTACTGAAAATGCTGGCAATGTGGCACTACACTTACATTTACAGCCAAATTACAGGTGAAAAATGCGACTTTAGCCACATTTTTCACAGCGACGTGCCTGTAATTTGGCTGTAAATGTAAGTGTAGCGCGTCATTGCCAGCATTTTGAAGATTTTTGGCTTATTTCCCCATGGTACTTCGTTACCGACCTATTAGAGCTATAACAAATCGTAAACTGACATTGATAATTTTTGGCAGGAAGATTTGACACCCCATGAGGACCTAAAAAACAAATTAGGGCGATTCGGTTAAAAACATACCCAAACCTCTCAAAATACCGCATAAATGGTATACGCGTTATAAGAGGGCTACCCAAAAACTGGGCCCAATATTGATAATTTTTTGTAGGGAAAAATTCTGCTCAATGAGAATTCAAAATACATAATTACAGCTAGCACAATCTCCCTAAAATATCAAAATTTGCGATGTAGCGTTATATGAGGGCTTCCCCAAGAAGTGGACCAATCTCGATCATTAGAGTAAATTCAGTTAAAAAACATGCCCAAACCTCTCAAAATACCGAATAATGGGAGTTACCATTTTATTGGGTGATAACCGAAATAATTGGACTATATTGATAATTTTTGGTAGGGTGATTTTCTACTGAATGACAAATCAAAATATTATCCCAAATTGTTGGAAACATTTGCTCAAGCTCCCTAAAATAGCGAACTTTTGGGATGTAACGTTATATGGGGGTTTCCCTAAAAAGTGGACCAATATTGAAAATTTTTAGTAGTAAGATTAACTACGACATCAGAACCCGAAATACTAAATTACGGCCAATGAGCCTAAAATATATGCCCAAAAACCTTAAGATACCGAATATTGGGAAGTACCGTTATATGGAATCTCAGCCCAAATATGGACCAATATTGATAATTCATATACAGATAAGATACTCAACGTGATTTCAAAATACTAAATTATTGCCGATTCTGTGGAAAACTTATCTATAACATGCATAATGTCAAAATTAAGAGGCACCATTATATGGGGTCTTCCCAAAATAGTGGACCAATAATGATCATTTTCGGAAGGAAGATATGATACGCAATGATAACTTAATATAGGAAATTACATTCAATTCTTTTGAAAAATTTTGCCAAAAATATCCATAATACGGAATATTTGAAGGTACCATTATATAGTGGCCATGCCACAAGTGGGCCGATCTAACCCATATGCAATACCAAGCATCCTTGGAGTAATAGCAATACCAATACAAAATTTCAAAGCTCTATCTTAAATATTGCGATCTCTTCCGTGATTTTAAAAGACAGATAGACGACCCGCAACTAGTGATACGTAGTCGAGAGCAAAAGTCGACTATCAGACTTTTCGATTTTTGATCTTTCGATTTTGTCAATCCTGCTCAAAATCAATTTTCGTCTTTTAACGACTGATGCAAAATCGGCTAAAAATTTTATTTTTTTAGGCTTAAATGCACATTACGGACACCTCTTAGATCATTTTGAACAACATAGATTTTCTCGGGGGGAAATCAGTACTTCCCGAAATATGGAGTTCCAAATTTTTAAAATAATTTTTATTTGTTAGCCTTAAGAGACTCAGCTCGGATTGTGCTGGTTCAACAGAGGTATGTATATAAAAAACCGGCCAAAGGCCGCCAATTCTGCAAATAATCTTTTTAAAAGAAAATTCTGCTCGCGTAGATCAATGCTCCACCAGTCCATAGAAGAAATTTGGTGTTATACAAAGGCAAAACAAGTGTAAACGTCGTTGTTATAACCTCCACAATGAGATGGGTATTCAAAAACCTAATAGTACGTTTACATTGTACCGGATTTCGTTAACCCAGTGGGTTTCAATTGTCAATTCTGTTGTATACATGTCAAATAAATCCTCATAGAGTAGGTTAACCCGGTAAAAAGCTCTAATGTAAATGCCGTTTAAAATCGATAGGGAAATTTATATGGGGCTACGTTATAGTACGTTTACATTGTACCGGATTTCGTTAAGCCAGAGGGTATAAATTGTCAATTCCATTGTATATATGTCAATAAATATCATACTTTATCCAATCTAGTTGAGAACGTGCCCGAAATATAGAGTAATGGGGCCTAAATTCTAGTTTAATATATAGATATTATACATACGGGGACAGTTCTGCAAAAAAAATCATATTAATTCCATCTGTCCATAGGAGAAAGTTATAAATCTCCGGCCGTAGACCGACTACTCAGAAACAATTTCAAATTTAGAGAAAATGCTGCTTGCGTAGCCCAATTCCATAGCCCACCTGTCCATAGGTGAAAGTCTTTAGCCTCCGGTATTATGTGGTTGTGATCAGCACCAAAAGGACCAGGTATTAATGAAAAAATCGAAAGCCGATCTTGAAAAGACGACTTTGCGATTTCCTTCTAAGATCACAAGTCGACTTCGACTTTTAGACTTGTCAATACCGAATGTCGATTAACCGATTAGTCGAAAGTCGATTTACTTATCCCTAACCACAACACGACACAGAATTGTTTTTCCGATCTTGAATATATGTACATACCTTATAGGGAGAGAATGAACAATTTAAAAATTTAATATACCTGGTGGAGGATATAAAAACATGACCAACATCCGTTAATTACTGAATATTGGTGGCAAATGCGTTTAATTTTCAATACCAAACATTAATGACAATGCTTGTGCAAAATTTAGAATAAACCCCAATATCGGTCACTGTACATATCCCCTTTCGAATAATCCTAGTTGGTGTTAAAAAAAAAATATCTTACCTTTTTATCGTTATGTTGATGATCTGCAGGAGAGATTGTTGCTGATCCATTCATTATTGGCTTCCTCACTTCCGGTACAAAGGAAAACACATAATTATCATTTCCACCCCAACTAGTTAGACAGTTGTCCTTGTCCACATACGTGTTAATAGTCTTCTTGGTAATAACTTTCAAAATTTCCACAGCCTTTTCAGGCAAAAGAGCTTTAACGATCTTAAATGCAGCTGTAATTATAAAGAAAATAAATTGTAACTGTAATGTACATATATGTGTATATATATATATATATATATGTATATATATATAGAGTTTCTATATATAGCTTGGGTTAAAGTTTAATTCGCACGTCACGTTTTGCATAGCCATTTTTTCATTACTATAATTAAAGTGTTTGGGATTTATGACTGCAATTAAATCAACGAAACGCGATCAAATTAACCTTTCACCCGTGCTGTCATGAAAAACATACCATTCAGTATCCAGGCCATTTCAAAAACCAAAATATAATTCAATGTATTGGGATAATACATTTTAAATGTTTCAATAATCATCTTGATGAAGTCTAAATCCATATTGGACAAACCGGTTCCGTCCATGTCAAAGAATATGGTAATCTTCTCCAAATGACGTTCACGTTGTATCCGTTCGACCCAGTAGACAAGAACTTTCAACAATTCATTCATATCCTTGGAGCCCTTGATGTGTTTGCTGGTTTTGAAGATGAGTAATGGCTTGCCATCGACGTCATTATTATGGGGGAATATGACACCATCCTTTAGGTAGTCGATGCGAACATTGTTTTCATTTAGATCATTGGCACCGAACTGTTGACGCCATATACATGTCGACCACAATTTGTCGAATGACGTTTTCATATCCAAATCGTACATTTCCAAGAAACGTATACACCAGAGATCATCATTGCGAACGCGATCAATATCCACAGGATGAAAGTCGACTGTAAAAAGGATAATTAAGAAAAAAAAATTAAATGTTAGAAGGATTTTCGATATTAAACTTCCCACACACAGCTTGGACATTGAAAATACATAAAAAGGAGCAGGAACATTATTTGGAGTTATGCAAGAGCAAAACAAGTGTAAACGTTGTTGTTATACCCTCCACAATGAGATGGATATTCAGAACGCCTAAAATCGATAGGAAGTTTATATGGGGGCTACGTTATAGTACGTTTACATTGAACCGGATTTCGTTAAGCCAGGGGGTTAAAATTGTCAATTCCATTGTATATATGCCAAATAAATCCTAATAAAGCAGGTTAACCCGGTGAAGAGTTCTAATGTGAATGTCGTTTTATGGCACAAAACCGAAAATATCAAACTATAACCAATCCAGCTGAAAATATGCCCAAAATCCAACAAAATATAGAGTAATGAGCAGGGGTGTCGGGCTGCCTAAATTCTAGTTTAAGAATTCAAATATTGATTTGTACATGTATACAATTAAATAATTTCGAAAAATTCAAGTATTTTTCTTTTACTGGAAAAGTAAACGAACACACCTATTATAAAAAATATATTGAATTATCGAACACAATTGTTATCATTTTACCTAGAATTGAGTGATATTTAAAAAAAATTGTTATTTGTAATTAACTTCTCCCGCTAATCGTTTAGTTATTTACATGCCATTGGCAATGAAATATTGGAAATTTTTTATCGCCTCCATATTTTCGAACATGACTAATTTTCTGTTTAAATTATTTATAAATATAATGGTGGTTGATGGTGCTATGCCTATCAACTCCACTCTGTAAGGGAAAGGGGATCGGAATTTTAACAAATATATTAGAAAAGTCACAGTCAGTGTTGCCAAGGCTTTTTATACCCTTCACCACACTGTGGTACAGGGTATTATGGCTTTGTGCATATGTTTGTAACAGGCAAAAGGAAATGAGATAGACACATAGTTCTTTTTGAGAATATGCTTAGAATCACTTTCTGAGTTGATTTATGCATGTCCGTCCATCCGTCTGTCTGTCTATGTTAAATTGTAAACAAAGTACAGATCGCATTTATGATCCGAATTGACTGAAATTTTACACACTTATTTGGCCCAGGGACAAACCCTATTTAAATTGGGAAAAATCGGTTCAGATTTAGATATTGCTCCCATATATGTTTTCGTCCGATTTAACCAATGTCCCTATATATATTTCGATTTGCACGAAATTTGGCACAGAGTAATGAATTAGGTCTAGAATTATGTGTGTTAAGTTTCCTGAAAATCGGTTCAGATTCAGATATAGCTTCCATATATATTATCGTCCGATTTAAGGTAAATGGTGCACCAAGGTTCCTATATATCTTTCGATTTGCACAAAATTTGGTACAGCGTAATGAATTAGGTCAAGAATGATGTGTGTTAAGTTTCCTGAAAATCGGTTCAGATTTAGATATAGCTCCCATATATATTTTCATCCGATTTTATGATAAATGGTGCACCAAAGTCCCTATGTATCCTTCGATTTTCACGAAATTTGGCATGATGTACTGAATTGAGTCTATAATAATGTGTGCTAAGGTTCAGATTTAGATATAGCTTCCATATATATTTTTTGTACCAAGCTGCATTGATTTTATGATAAATGGTGCACCAATGTCCCTACATATCTTTCGATTTGCACAATATTGGGCATGGCGAGCTGAATTACGTCTAGAATGATGTTTTCTAAGTTGGAAATCGGTTCAGATTTTGATATAGCTCCTATATATTCTTTCTTCCGATTTTATGTAAATTGTGCACTAAAGATCCAAGGTTTGTCCGATTGCAACACAATTTTGTACAATGAACTGTAGTTAATATAAATTAATCTCTGGCAAGTCTCGTTGAAATCTCCGTAGTGTGTTAATAAAACATGCTCCACGTAGGTTGTCAATGAAACGTTAGCTATGCTGGATGTCTGCGAAACGGCCTCGCTTCGTAATTTGTAGCGATTCATAAATAATAACGAGGATTTGGTTATTTTGAAATTCACACTGCGCAATCTTATCAGATGTTTGAATGGAGATTGCTTAATGAGCGACTTCTTGTATTTTCTTCGCTCTTTTATATGCTTTTCTGCGTTACAAAATGTGTTTACAGGTATTGATAATATTCTTAAAAGATCGATAACATTCTAATATTATTTACAGCGTTGTAGTTACATAATTTTAAGATAGGATGACATTCATAAGCTTAAATTTAATTCGATAAACAGTGTAAAGCTTTACATCAATTCATAATAATCTTGATTGCTTCATTATCCATTTAAAATCGATTTGATAACAGAAACCCGGAAATAGGGTGTATGATGTTGTATTAGCGCTCCAATATAGTAAATACCCAAATAAATACCCGCAAATGGGTATTTTCCCACCCCTTGGGTATTTATCAGGTAAATACCATCTCTATTGATGAATTAATGCCATTTTTGATCACACCTTAAAAACTATTTTTCGATCAGACCTCGTATACAGATTTATAAACACATTCATAGGATGTTCACAACGTCGCTATACTCTTTGAAACAAACCTCATACAATTCGATTTTGTTCTATGTAATAATGCAAATAAGTAACATTGCAAAGTTAATTAGCAACTACACTTCAATCAGAAAAAATAAAAGGTTTTTTTTTTGTTTTTTATTGGGATTTGCATCTTTTCCAAACTTGAACTTTGCACAAAGATTTCAGGTGCAAAAATATTATTAACAATGCTTTCGATTGATAAGTGGACCTACTGCTACCTATATGTTTGTTGTTGGCGACCACTAGGTGTTTTTTTATTGCACCAATTGTAGTGGCTAAGTAGTCAGGCGATTAGACCTGTTCGGGTGGTAGTTGTTAATCGCAAATAGTAGAATAATAAAATGCTAAAATAATCTAATCGCCGATTTCAGGGTTGACTAAAAATATTAAAAAAGCTATATTTTTATGGTTTGCAAAAATTGGTAAAAATATTGTTTTAGACACATTTCGAATGTTTTTTTTTTAATATCAGTTTAGTTTTACGCCACACAGTATAATTGGATCAAATATTCGTCTGTGACTCAATAGTTTATAATACTCCTAACTATTGGTTCTATCACCATTTTTAATATGGATCGTAATATGTTGACTGTACACATTGATTTAGCTAAATGTGTACTATATTTCCACCCGTCGAAGTGCATGTCAAATTTGGGCCGATTCTCACAAAGTTCAGTATTCTGTGCAATTTTGTTCCAATAGGACAAATATTTGGAGTTTGGTGCACCATTTACATAAAATTGGACGAAACTATATATGGAGCTATATCTATTGGATTTTACTTATACTATAGATACATTTAAAGAATTATTAGATTTATACTATACTTTATAATAATCTAGTCTGTAAGGATTTATATTTCCATAGACTGAAATAAATAAATAAATTTCAAAATAAACTCGGAATGCCAAATCAACTTTGATAGCAATGTATATCTAAACCCTTCCAAAACTCGATAATGGAGCCGGATCTTTAAATAGGGCCTTTGTGTAAACATGGACTTATATCGAACACTTTCTGTATGGCTGTTAGTTACACATTAATAATCCGGAATGCCTAATCCTAACCTCTCAGTTGAATAAAAAAAAAAAAAAAAATAGAAAATTGGCCGGTATGGTATGCCACATCGTGAACCGAGATATTTGCACTACAAAACATCCCAGGAGTAGTAGTAATGTGCGTACAAAATTGCAAAGCTCTATTTTAGATATGGCGATCTGTATGGTGACTTAAAAAAGGCGGACATCCGAAAATCGACATTGAACTATATTCGAATCAAGAAGAAAAGTATTCGTTCACGTTATGGTATAAACTTCCAATATTCGTTATTTTAGCACTGTTTCAGGCGAATTGACTGGCAAAAATTGCCAATATTAAAGAGTTTCGACACAAATTGTTTGTAATTCCTATACCCTTCACCACACTGTGGTACAGGGTATTATATATTTTTGTGCATATGTTTGTAACAGGCAATAGAAAACAAGGCAGACACTTGGTTCCATTTAAGAATATGCATAGAATCACTTTCGGAGTCGATTAATGCATGTTTGTCCGTCTGTCTGTCCATTTACAAAGTACAAATTTCGATGATATGTGGTGCAGCTCATTTATGTTCGTGAAAATCGATTCAGATTGAGATATAACTCCCATATATATTTTCGTCCGATTTTATGTAAATTGTGTACCAAAGTCCCTATATATCTTTCGATTTGACATAGCGTATTGATTTTAGTCTAGAACGATGTGTGTTAAGTTTCGTGAAAATCGGTTCTGATTTAGATAAAACTTCCATATATAGATTTTGATAAACCTTCCATATATATATTCGTCCGATTTTATGTAAATGTTACAATAAAGTCCCTATATATCTTTCGATTTGCACAAAATTTGACATAGATTACGGAGTAAGTCCTAGAATGATGTGTGTAAAGTTTCGTGAAAATCGGTTCAGATCTAGATATAGCTCCCATATATATGATTGTGTGTTAAGCCCGAAATTTGGCATACCGTACTGAAAAATCTAGAATGATGTGTGCAGATTTAGATATAGCTCCCATGTATAATTTTCACTGATTTTTTGTAAATTTTGCACTACACAATTTTGTGCCATATACTCGTACTGTAGTTAGTACAAAGAGGGTGCAAATTTTAGGAAATATTGCCCAAGCTCGAAATAAACATCCGCAGAAAGTAAGAGTTCCGTGGTAGTTGTGTAGGGTATCGTATGGCCGGCACCGTCCGACTATACTGCTTCGCTCACTGGATTTATTTAAGATTTCCATAAAAAATCTCCCAACATTAAATTATAAATATTGGTCCAAGTTTTGGGGGAATTCCCCATGTACTCCTCATTATTCGATATTTTGAGATCTTTTTTAATATTCTCTTATTTTTTGAGTTCACATTGGATGGCAAATTTTTCCTACCAAAAATTATCATTATCGGTCAATCTTTGGGTATAACCACCATATAAATGTCCAGCCCCTTTATAGGTATTTTAATGGTATTAGGGACATTTTTTATACGAATTGACAACATTTCAGATTTACGAAGTGATTGTTATTTGGTATCTTCTCCTAGTCAGCATACAAAGATCCTAGACCCAAAGTTTGTGTCTGTGGTGTTTTATTTTATTCTGGCACAAATTTACCATAGCATAACCCACATACATACAGTTTCGCTCATGTTTAGGTATGTCTACCTCACGTTGGAGGCTATAAAAATCTTGGTCCGGCCGAACATAACGACATTTTCATTGTTTTCTACGATCGCATAGTTAAACATATAAAACCTGTATTGACTGAACTGAATGCATTTTAGAAAAAATATGTTGCTAAAAATATGCAAAAATGCTTTTTATTACGGAGGCCTTCATACTTGTTTTTGGCTTAGTGCATCGTCCGAATATGTTTATATGCAGGAAATCTCTGATTGTTGAATGGGGAAACAAATAAAGACAACATAGACCACTGACCTATAGCGGTTTGTTTTATTATGGTGTTTTTAATAAAATAAAAAACGCATTGCATGTATGTAGTTTGTGTGTATCAAGCACATATAATTAACACAAAACATAACACGAATTTATAATGTGCGAATTCGTCGCACATTCATAAACGTCGAGAGCATATTACTATAAAAAGTCAGATGAATATCCATTCATATTTGGTAAAGTCGTTATAGGTATCATAATTATGTATGTATATGGGTCAAGTTCAAATATCTGCGATGCTTATCAATAACAAGGTATAAAGCTTGTTAAAAATGTGTGTGTGTGTGTGTATGTTAAAGTCATTTACAAATCAGCTGTTCATCGATGAATATGTAAACAAATGTTTATGTTTTCGTTTTGTTACCAAGAGTATGAGAGTAAAATGACGCACACTATCACGTGCTAGGCCAAAAATTTTTATTTTTCGTTTTTTTTTAATAAAAATTATTTAATTGCACAATTACTAGATATAATCTTAACTGTGAGCTTGTGTATACATCACAAAATTATTCACAGGATTGGGAATGTACTTTATATTTTTAAATACACACTTCGGTGTTGGTAGAGCCATGGTATAATTATTTAAGGTTAGCTATAGCAACTTATAAATTACAATTCTTTCATATAGTGGCTTTTGAAATGAATACCAGACATCCCATTCATTTTTCGCGTTTTTTGGTAAAATTGTAACAATATGTCAAATAAACAGAACAATTTGTTGCATTTGTTTTTATTTATAGTCCACAAGGTAGAGGTTTATCATCTCTTTTTTTGACAAAAAAACAGTGAGCGGAGCAGTATTCTCGGACGGGGCCGACCATATAATACCCTAACAACTTCTAACTTTGCGTTATTTGCACCCTCTTGAAACCTGAGGGCTGTACTAGTCCAGATTCTCTTTACCGTGGGTTATGTTGTGATGTTGTTGTTGCTTTCAACTGTGGCCTATAGACCGACTCAAAAAAAAAAAAAATAAATAAATAAATAAAAAAAACACTAAATGTTAAGTTTTCAGTCCACTTCATCTCAAAATTATTATGGCGTTGTCCTTGACCATAACTGGAATCTCATGGAAATTTTCAAAGCGATCAGCGCTATATTTCTGCCCTCTAGTGTGGTTATGGGTTACTAAATAATGTCACCTGTAAATATTTAAGTGTAGCTCCCACATCTGAGTACATACGACCATATAATTGGTATCAATTTAAAGGTCAACCACTCCTCTTGAACATACTATCAACTTTTTGGGTCTAGGTCCTTCAGGGGCAAATATATACGCCATAGAATACAAATTTTGTCATTTTGCACACAAAAGTCAGGGTCCATTTGACCCGCTAAATATTGACCGATCTTTATCAAAACAGACGTGCTTATTCTTTGGCCCGATCCCCTTCTCCATGCAAAAATTCGCGGTGTTTGAGCCATAATTGCGGCCTCTGGAGCGACCAGAAAATCAGACAAAAATAAAGTTTTTTGTCCATTTCATCCCCTAAATATTAAGCGATCTTTTCCACAATAGGGGTCTTCATTGGCCAGAACCCATTCTACATGCAAAATTTCGTGAAGATTGGTCCATAACTGTGGCCTGTACCGTGTTTACAAATTAGAATGGACAGACGGACGGACGGACACACATGTCTAGATCGACTCGGCTATTCGAGATATGACGATCTGTATACTTAAAGGTGGGTCTAGGACCAATATTTCTCGACGTTACAAACTTTTGGGGCTGCACGAAGCTATAATACCCTGACAACATAGTTGTGTAGGGTATAAAAAAACTTGTAGATATGCATCAAAATCTGTACTGATTTTAAAAACTACAGCAAGAGATCAAAATGGGGGATTTTGAACTTTAATTGTGAAGTACGGCGATAATAGTCCCTTTATATATTGGAAGGATAAGAAAATGTTTCGCATAGGTCCTTGTTTTTAAATATCACTAATATGTAGAGGTCCCGACCCATATTTAGTATGTTTTAGACGTATTCGCCATCCGTAGGTACTGTTATCTGGCATTTCCGTTTCTTGGAGGGTGAAAAACATAATTGCAGAAAATATTCAATATAGATCAATGCTCATATATAATGGTACAGACTCATTTTTCAGTATTATGCTAGTAGTCATTTTGTTTTCAGACGATAACAAAAAAACTCTTCGATGAAAGTTGTTAATATAGAATTTTATTTGGACATAAATTTGGCAAAGCTCATTTATTTGGGACAAGAACGAGGCCTATTGACGAAAATTGGTTCAGATTTCGATGTACTTCCCGTACATATTTTCTTCCGATTTTATGTAAATGATACACCAAAGAACAAATGTTCAAATGTCGTATAACCGGTTTAAGGAAGGCCGGGAATAATAATAACCGAGGAAGTACGTCAAATTCGGGGTTTGAAACACAAGTATAAATGCAGTTATGTTCGGCCCGTATGAAATTTTTATACACTCCACCAGGTGGTGTGCTTTCATAATTCCTTATTGTTAGTGCATTATGTTAGGTTGCTCTGAAAAATTATGTTCCAAGTTACAGTCCGAAAAGAATGTTCCAACATACCGAAAATTAAACGGGTCATTTGAATGTTTTTTGAAGACGTTTTTTATTCACACGAAATCCTATATACATTTTTATAAACACTTCGATGAGATACTGGAACGGAACCTTTTTTGCCCTCCAACATCCCGAAATACTATAATGGGAAGATGCGACTAAAATATTCAAAATACTAACAATAGTGCGCTATTCTTATATGGGGGGTATGTCAAAACATGGACCAATATTGATCATATATTGGCGGATGTGTATATGGGTCGGTACCGTTATATGGCAGCTACATATATGAAAAAGTGAACCAATGTTTATAATTTCATAATATAACATAAAGTTCGAGCCAATCCGGATAAAAAAAGTGACCGGAAACTTAAGCCAATATTGATAATATTTGGTAGGAGATTTTTTACCCATATTACAGTGGGTTAGGTTGAAAAACATGGCCAAAGGCCTAAAATACCGTATATTTGGTGTACGGTAATATGGAGGCTATCCTATGAAGTAGAAAAAATATTTATTATTTAAATATGTAGAAAAAAGAGGCATACAGTTTCGAAATGTATCCCACTTTGTTGTAGCAAGCTCTATTATACCCACCACCATAATGTGGAGTGTATATTAAATTTGTCATTCCGTTTGCAATACCTTGAAATATTCATCGTATATATTCCTTATATTATTCCATAAAGTACATATATTCTTTATCAGAAAAAAATTCTATGTCGATTTATGGGGGCCCGTCTGTTAAAATCCCAGGATATTTGGTATTGCAAATGGAATATATCGGTCAACGTCTTGATGTAGCCCCAGTACGACGGTACCCCACAATATTCGGTATTTAGAGGATTTGGACACGTTTTTTTCAACCGAGTTGGCTGTAATATGGTATTTGGGTTCTCATTGTATAGCACATATCCGAACCAAACCTTATTAATATTGCCCCTTTTTCAGGTAGCCCTCATGTAACGGTACACTCAATATTCCGCATTTTTGGGAATTTGGACATGTTATTAATTTTGTGTTGTCATTGTATAGCAAATCCATTTACTAAAAATTATTAATATTGAACCAGCCAGTTCGATTGAAAAACGTGTCCAAAATATCCTAAATAACGAATATTGCGGGTACCGTTGTGTGCGGGCTACCCTGAAACTTGGGTCCATATTAGTAATATTGGTATTTTGGGTTCTCATTGTATAGTTCATGTCCTTACCAAAAATGATTAATTTTGCCCCTTTTTCAGGATAGTCCCCTATATAACGGTACAACCACGTTTGGACACGTTTTTCGATCAAATTGGATTCGTGTTGTATAGCACATCATTGTACTAAAAATGATTAATTTTGGGTTGTCATTGTATAGCAAATCATTTTACTAAAAATTATTAATATTGAACCAAGTTTGAGTGTAGCCCTCATACAACGGTTCCTCATATCTTTTTACTAAAAATAATTTCACTACCCAAAATGATCAATATTTATCCCCATTTTGGTATAGTCCCAATAAAAATTAGCCCGCTATTAGATATTCATATTTCAGTACATTCAATGTCCGATCCTAACATGAGCCCCCCATTAATTTTACATATTTTGAATGTCATCCTCATGACAGACAACGTTTTAATGGTTTTAAGTACTTCGAATTCTACCGTGATTTCAACAGACGGACTGGCATGGCTAATGTGGTCTCATGTGAATATATACTCCACCTTGTGCTGGAGGGTTTCAAAATATAATAACATAGGATTTGACAGTCAAACCAAAGTGAGAAATTTACAATCTGTGACTAAGAATATATTTTCCAGTGATTTAGGCGAAAATGAAAGGGCAACATTAAACAAAAGTGTCTTAAATATACATACCTGCCGGTGGATTTGTTTCATATTTCTTAATGAACATATTTCGCAGCTCATCGACTTGCTGCTTATTAGGCGTCATAGTTTTAATTGGCATTGTGCTTGTTTTTTATTATTTATCTCTTTCGTTTTTTGTTGTTGTTTACAAATAAGTTCAGCACCTCCCTGGCGCGTCAAATAAATTGTAACAGTTGGCCGAGTAGTTTGTCTAGTAAAACCAGCAAGTAATTTAATGGATACAACTGTCACACACACGTACAAATTTCACTTTTTCACTCTCTTCGATAGACACCCGGCTCTGAGGTTCTTCCGCTACTGAACTCTCACAGTTTACTTTCCTACCCGTTTAACGGCAAAAAAAAAGCAAAAACTACGGACCACACAAAATTGTATGTTTAGCACACACAACATACAACGGCATACTAAATGAACTAAGCGACAGCGATTTTTGACAACATTTCCTCCCCAGTTTTTTTTTTCGATGGAACCTTTTCTTTGAGCATTAATTTTCCGGTGATTATTGTAGTTTAGAATGAGATTAGAATTATAACGTTTGTTGTAGTTGTTGCTGTTCTGTTCTGTTTGACGATTTACTTAGAGCAGAGCAATACGATTTTCAAGGGGGTGGACGAGACATTCCCTTTTTTGATAGCTTGATTATTTGCTATATTGTCGCAAAGTGATTTTTTTGGAATATTGTTGTAGTATTTGCCGTAATTGGTTCGATTTTGACACCCGGTTTATACAGCAAATAAATAAATGACACAAACAAATACACTCATATATTTGTACATCTGTAGATCGCCTTATACACCAATTTGCAAATATATATATATATATATATATATAACACAAAAAAAATCAAATCAGTTTTTGCTGATAATGATATGAAAAAGAAGAAATTCGATTACTTTTTTTTTGCCAAAAGTTACCGTAACCGAACCGAACTCAACTGTTATCAATATCAAAACTAAAAAATAAACAGCCACACTCACTAAAAGGCACTCGAACTCATTTAACGATTACGAATAGTGAGTACGATCGCGACATTTGTCGTTCTCAGATTATAGATGGATGGCTACATAGTTAGCGAACGTGCGAACGACAAACAAGTAGGGACTGAGAATCATGATAAAATAAATTGACTTGGCTCGACCTCATCGTCGTGTCATGTGTACATTAAAGTGGGTATCATAAAAGTTTGAAAGCTTATTTAGGTGCACGGTTCTTATAAAAATAATTAAAAACATAATGTTTTAGAATAAAACTATAGACACTATCTATGGGGGTAGATTCGGCATTTTAAAGAGCGAAATATTGGTCCTAGACCCACCTTTAAGTATACAGATCGTCATATCTCGACTACGTGAGTCGATGTATACATGTGTGTCCATCCGTCAGTCCATTATAAATTGTAAACACAATACAGTCCACAGTTATGGATCAATCGTCATGAAATTTCGCATGAGGATGGGTTCTGGCCAATGTAGACCCCTAATGTTTTTGATTAAGATCAGGTCAATATTTAGCGGGCCAAATGGACCCTGACTTTTGTGTGAAAAATGACATAATTTGTATTCTATAGCGTATATATTTACTCCTGAAGGACATAGACCCAAGAATTTGATAGTATAGAAAAGGCGTTTTAAGTTTTCAATTTACTCACACTTTATATGGGAAACAGGAACTTCTACAGCTTCTCAATTAGAGTGTGCAAGAGGTATTCATATGCATTTTTTACACAACATGAGGTCTATTATAGCCAGTGTTGCCAATTTAGCACTTTTAGTGCTAGATTTAGCACTTTTTAAACTCGTTTAGCACCAAAAAAATCGATCTAGCACCTAGCACTTTTTTTAGCATTTTTAATTTGTTCCAAATTTTTTTACAAATTTTAGTATCGCTCCAAAAAATTTTCGTTTTTCGATTTCACATTAGCACATTGAAGTTTCTGTATGTTTCACATGGTGGGTTTGAATTTCCAATGTTTTTTCCAATGAACGGTACAGTCGGACGGGGCTATCCATATGATACCCTACGAAACTACTACAAGACTTAAATTTTCTGCGAAACTAATTGCCGTGTCGGTGAAAAATTCTGCGTGGTATCAACCTCCTGGGTTATAATAATACTACAATACCATTACATAAAAAGTAAAAATGATTTTATGTTTGACCCGGCCGAACTTTTTTAACCTCCACCATGAGGATGTCAATCAAAATATCTAAAATTAATGGGGGCTCCTAGGTGAAAATTCATGTTATGATAGAACCCTGAACATACCGAAAAATAGGTGGTAAACAGATATTGAAAATGTCCAAACATCTAATGGTGGGGCTACCGTTATAAGGGTTTATAATAAAACAGAGATCAATATTGATATTTCTGGTAGTGAGAAATAGTACGGAAATGTGCTATACAATGTGAACCCAAAATACAAAATTACAGTCAATTAAATTAAAAAACGGATCAAAAAATTCCATATTGGCAGGTACCATATAAAGCCGGACATGCGTAAATCGACATAGAATTTTATTCTGTTTAAGAATATATATGTAATACTTAGTGGTGTATCCCGTGAATATTTCGATGTGTTGCAAACGGAATGACAAATTTAATATAGACTCCACCTTATGGTGGAGGGTATAAAAACACTGTGAACAATTTGGGGTATATAAACGAATATAATTTAAATAAATGTAAAGTCAGCTTTACTTCTCTTGACAAGAAAAAATGTAATGGAATGTTTTTTTAATTGTACTGCTAAGGTCTTGGTTCATTTAATTAAAAAAATTTGACAGATCATTATTAAAGCAGCCATGCTTTTTCGTTGAGTAGATTTCCCGTATTTATTGCTTTATCGGTGTTCGCGTTACAAAGGTGGCATCTAAAAAAAAACACAACTATAGATGTGGCACTTCACCATAACCGGAACTTTATGCAAAATTGCATACATATCATCTAGTGTAATAATGGTAATTCTAAACATTATTAGAGTACGTAGACTCCTGTAAATATTTACGTATAGCTCCCACACCTGGTCTTTGTCCTTCTACAATAAATGTATACGGCATAGAATACAAATTTTGTATTTTTCGGACAAAAGTCTTGGTCAATTTGAATCGCTCAATATACTTATTCATTAGCGTTTCCTTATGTACAATTTTGTGACCTCTAGAGATACCAGAAAAACATATAAACTAATTTTGGTTGACTTCAACAGCCAAATATTGACCGATTTTCCCAAACACAATAAGTGTCTTCACTAGCCAGAACAGGATATGCAAAATATCGTGACAAGTTTTTACTAAAATGTGAGTCCAGGACCAATATTTTGAGACGTTATAAGCTGTTGGAGCACTTATAACATCCCCACAAAATAGCTGCTAATTTTAATTTTAAGAAATAAAGATGTCATTATAAAATATAATCAAATTTCTTTATATTAAGTTTTAGCACTTTTTTCTGGCACTTTTCTAAAATTTTTAGCACTTTCTAGCATATTTTTCAACAAAATCTAGCACTTTTTCTCAATCAAGTTTTGGCAACACTGATTATAGCGAACAATCGTGCATCATTACGTTTTTTGAGTTATGCCTGTCTTGCAGCAAATGAGTTATATGTACTCGGATGTGGGAGTTACGCTTAAATATTTACAAGTGCTTAGGTATTCATATATTATTTACTAACCCATTACCACACTAGAGGGCCAAAATATAGCGCTGATCGCTTTGAAATTTTCGAAGAGGATCCAGGTATTGTCTGGGACAACGCCTATAATTTTCGGTGATGATCAGATAATAATATTGGGATGAAGTGGACCGAAAACTTCACAACACAACTCACGGTTAAGGTAATCTGGGCAAGTAATTAGAGGGGCTGTACTGAATATTAGTAATATTTGTTAACCTCTAGTCGGTCATGAGGGTGCAAATATCGCGAAATATTGCCCATGCTTAGAATATAAAACCACAGAAAGTTAGATTTTCGTGAAAGTTGTGTAGGGTATCATATGGTCGGCCCCATCCGACTATATTGCTCCGCTCACCCAGCCAGCTTCAATGAACGAAAATGCGATAGAAAAAAGTATTCCTGATGATGTGTGTATGTGGATTGTTATAATGACGCAAAAAATATATATATATAAATCAGTCTTTTATTTTGAAAGTGGTTTAAGTTCATTTTAGTATTAGAACCTAATCTTGGTTTACAAAAAATATTACGTTATATATTCTTATTTCTTATTTAAGGGCAAAAGACCACAAATAAAATTAATACCACTTAAGAATATTTTTGAAACAAATCAAAAACAAATATTTCAATTTCTCAGTATAAGAAAAACTTAACTTAAAATAAACGAATCACTTAAGAACCAGTAAGTAAAGTAGTAAAGTCGGACGGGGCCGACTATATGATACCCTTCACCACTTTGGGTATATTCAACAGATACATTCTAATGTCGTATTTTAGAAGGACCATTGACATGAAATTGGATGAACTAAAATATGTGACCTATATATAACCGACTTAGATCAATCCATAAACATGTCATTCTGTTACCTATACTAAACTCTTCATTTGGATAGATAATTTTGTATCATAATTATGTAAATCTATTTAAAGCAAATCTCAGTCGAATATTCGTTGAATTTTTGAAGCCTAATAAACATGAAGTTGGTCGAATATATGGGCTATGCCTACATTTTTTAAATATTTACAAAAAACAATTACTTCATTATTTACTAAATTCTGTACGTTGTGCAAAAGTCTGGCAAAAATGAGGAGTTTGGGGCACCATTTACTTCAAATCGGACGAACAATTTAAAGAAAGCTATATCTAAATCGATATTAAATACATATGGAAATCTGAACCGATTTCAATGAAACTTTGCTCACGTTAGGTTGTACTACGTCGTGCAAAATTTTGTGTCAATCGGCATAGCTTTGGGTCTTTGTGCACTATTTACTTAAAACTATATATGGAAAACTATATCTAAATCTGAACCGATTGCAACGAAACTTTTCACAAGTTATGTTATACTAATTTCAGTATGTTTTGTGCCTATCGGCCATATTTTGGGTCCTTGGGGCATCAATTACTTAAAATCGGAGAAAAATATATAGGAGCTATATCCAAATTTGAACCGTTTTTCACGAAACTTAACACACATACTTTTAGACTACGCTATGCCAAACGTCGCCCAAATCGAAAGATATACAGGGACTTAATATACCATTTACAGTAAATCGGAGGAAAATTTATATGGGAGCTATATCCAAATCTGAAACGATTTTCACGAAACTTAATACACATCATTCTAGACTTATTTCAGTACGCTATGCCAAATTTCGTGGAAATCGAAAGATAAATGGGGTCTTTGGTGAACCATCTAAATTAAATCGGACGAAAAACTATATGGGAGCTATATCTATATATGATCCGATTTCAATGAAACTTGACACACATCATTCTAGACTTAATTCCGTACGCTATGCCAAATTTCGTGCAAATCGAAAGATATATAGGGACTTTGGTGCATCATTTACATTAAATCGGACGAAACTATATATGGGAGCTATATCTAAATCTGATCCGATTTTCTTCAATTTCAATAGGGTTCGTCCTTGGGCTATAAATGTTATCCAAATCGGATCATAAATGCGACCTGTACTTTGTTTACAACTTAACATCTATCGATATAGAAAGTGATTCTATGCGTATTCTCAAAAGGAACTATGTGTCCATCTCGTTTACTTTTGCCTGTTACTGTCGAATTTTTAGCCGCAACTTTTCAGTTTAGTGTAGCTGAATTTAAATATAGCTCCCAAATATTTTTTTACACCGTTCCAATATATTTATTTTATACGATATTTTTGTTATAGTAAGTGTATACGACTCACCTGTATGTACTGCAATGTGATTTGAGTAAATATTTTCATAAATTGACTTGTTGTTTTTTTTTATTTATTTCGATTAATAGTAGCGAGCGTCACAACGTAGCGAGCGACTCACTAACGTTCAAATTATTTGTTTATAGATCAAATATTGACGAACTCACACATTCACCCAAAAGGGAAAATTCATTGTGAATTGAACAATAATGTAGACTGCTGCTTTTGGTTTCTCTGTACGAAGAATATTTAACGACACTCATTTATTTCGAAATTGTAGAAAGGCAATGGAATTGTGAGAAGTTGTCGAATTCGTGTTTAGAATTTTTAATTAAACGTAAATTGTGACACTTTCGACTTCATTATGGTTTTGACCTACCTAGTGACCATGTTCTGTACAATGAAGTGACGTAGTCAGTTGTGTGTAGTTTTAAATGCGTGTACATAAATGCGATTATATGCATTTATGAATGTGACAAAACTACAGATTCTTTATATATAAGGTGTCTGGTTTTTTTTGTAATTGTTTGTTGACCAACAAGTTAACATAAATCATTACATGTGACCGGTAAAGCTTAATCGCTCAATATTTTCCTTATTTCTTAACTTGAGTTGTGGTCGAAAATAGGGTATTTTTAAAAAATTTCATATGTCCGCTATTTGGTTAATTTGTGTGCGATTTACAGAAAATAGAGGGTCAGCGTTTAGACTTATATTCCATAGTTGTTCCAGACTAACAAGAACAAAAGTGTCAGTCGGTGTTGCGACCAGTCTATGATATGTGTAGGATAGATGGGGAAACCGTGTTTAAAGGTTTTTGCTTTTAAGCTTCAAATAATTTTTATTTTATAATTTTTAGCTTTTTATAAATTTTAACTGATAGGTAAATATGTAACCTTTATACATACATATGACATACTTTAAGTTCGATTTAAATATTTCATTACTGCTTTAATGGATAGTTAACTGCTTTAAATATAGTTAACATCACATTTACTGTAAGTTATATCAATCGCCTGAAAATATGCTACAAAAATACAATAAATTTAGTCTATGAGATTTAGTTTACATTTTATCGGATTTAGTTGGAGCAGTGGGTTTAAACTTTAAAGTGTTAATTCAATTGTATATTTGTCAAATAAATCTTCATAAAGTTAAGTTAAAAGTTTTATTGTACAAACAGAAATGGAATTTGAATGCGCGTTGATACCATCAGCTTGGTCTTCTCGCCGTTTACTGCTACATTGGCAGACTCCTTCTCAATTTGCTCAAATGTGACTGTTACCGTTCTCAATGTTCGACGCATTATGTCGATGTCATCGGCGTAGGCGAGTAGCATGTCGTATGACCTTTTCCAGCAGGATGTTAAAATGGTCACACGACAAACTGTCACCTTGTCTGAATCCACGTTCGGTACTGAAGCGCTCCGATAGGTCTTTTTCGACTTTAACTGCTGATCTTGTGCCAGTTAAAGTTATCCTGCATAGCCGAATTCATTTTGCAGGAATGCCAAACGCAGACATGGCTTTAAACACCTCTGAATGGATAGGGCTGTCGAATGCGGCTTTATAGTCGACGAATAGGTGATATGTGTATATGTGTTTTTCGTGGGTCTTTTCCAGGATTTGGCGGAAAGTGAAAATCTGGTCAATTGTGGACTTGCCAGGTCTGAAGCCGCATTGGTATGGTCCAATAATGTCCTTGACCATTGGCTTCAGACTTTCACACAGCACGCTGGATAGCACTTTGTATTCTATGGGAAGGATACTTATTCCTCTATAGTTGGCACATATTGTCTTGTCTAATTTTTTGTGCTCGGGACAAAGGATGCTGAGGTTCCAATCATTGGGAATGCATTCCTCTAGCCAAATTGTACTAATCAGTTGGTGCATGCTCCTTACCAGCATCTGTCCTCCAGTCTTGAGTAGTTCGGCTTGTAAACCATCGGCACCTGCTGGTTTATTATTCTTTAGCCGATTGATTGCTACTCTGACCTCATCTTGTCTTCATACCGTTCTCTGTGATTGGTTCTGGGGTATCTTCTTCACTGCCACTATTTGATATCAAAAGCTTTTCAAAATGCTTCTTCCACATCCTCAACACGCTGTCTGTATCTGTCACCAGGTTTCCTTCTTCATCTCTACAGGGGGATGTGCCTGCACCAAAGCCTTCGGTTTGATGTTTTACTCGTTGGTAAAATTTTCGGACTTCATTCTGATTCCTGTACATTTCGATTTTCTCACGATCATGTTTTTCTTGTTCTTTCTTCTTTTTTCTGAAAATACGTTTCTCTTCTCTCCTTTTCTCCCGATAATTCTCCATCACATTACGTGTTTCTACTGTCTGCAGGGTTTTGACATCAGTAGCATTACGACACTCCTGATCGTACCATTGGTTTCTTTGTGGTGATTTTTGGTACCCAAGTGTTGCTTTTGCTGCAGTTTGTAGGGAGTGGGCAATCCTTTGAACAAAGCTTGGTATTTTTGAACGGCATGGTTTTTTACAGTGTTTATGTTCAAATATATATGTATTGTATTCATATACATCAGAAATGCATTTATTTATTAAACAAAAATATTCGAATATATACAAAAATATTCGAAAATTAAAAAAATCTGATCTAAATTTATTAAAACATAAAATGACTTAAACACAAAAATTTATATGGTGAAAAATACAGCTAATTCCGTAATCTTATTAGGTGCCCCCCACTCCCCTACAATTTTTGGACAATTTGAGCTTTGTGATAAAAAACCAAGAATTTATGAAGAAAAACGAAAGTCGATCTTGAAAAGATTTTCTCATAGATCAAAAGTCGACTTCGACTTTTACACTTTTCAATACAAAAAGTCAATTAGCCGAAAGTCGATTTACTTATCCCTACATTCTATGAAGGGAATGGATAATAATGACATTTCATTTAAGTTTTTGTAGAAAGAAGAAATGCATGAGTCCATATCACCCTCAAAACCCAAATTTGTGTCAGGTAATATGGAACGTAAAATAGCAAGGTTAGCTTTATATTGTCTATAATAACTTAAATAGTAAATTTTAGTTGTTGATTGAATTTAAGATGCGTCTATCGTTAAAATGTGCAGATAATATATTTAATAGAAATTAACCCCTTATACGTCAAATACAATCAACTGGATTTGTGGACATGTGGATCGAGTGGATTTCGTAGTTTAAACGTGCTCTTACGAAGAAAAATTAAAACATATCACTACATTCAAACATGCCGAGTGTGTGGAATTTTGTTATAAATATTTTGGTTCGTTGGTTTTGTCGTTCAAATTTATATGAAAAAACAACAGGTCGATACAACCGATATGTCGTTTAAGTGATGTGAAGGGCAGAAATTCGGGACTTTTCGATTTTGTCGTTATAGCCGATATGTCGTTATTAACCGTTCCGACTGTACTCAGTAATACAACTGTCAAATATGCCCTCTCATTTCAGTTCAGAAAATAAATATTCGCAGAAAGGAACCAATTAAGTCGTAAAAATATGCAATTTCTAGTTTGTAAACAATTGTGAGTAAATATATGAACAAGTATCAGCTCTTCAGGAATAGGTATTAAGGAATACGAAACCTATTAATTTGACGTACATTGTATAGAGATATATATTTAATAGATCGCAATAAAGACTTTATCACGGCGATTGTCGTAAATCTAAATGCATTGTAAATTTAATTTGTTTTTCCTTTCGAAATACCAGCTTTTTAACGTATAACGAACTGTTGCTTTATAAATAAAAAAAAGCTTTTAAGGCGCTTTCATTTTCTTAAAAATACCCAAAATAAAGCTCTGTAGCATTTTCACTTGAAGAAAATCTCTCTCATTGTTTTGGGAAATATTCAGTCGTCAACAACGCGTTGGTATCAACGTACACCACCTCATCAAGAGGAAAATCACAGTGTTTTGGAGTGTTCGGGAGTGCGTTCGTCGTGTGTGCATCAGTGTTCTGTTTTATAAACAAATGTTTTGAAATTTCATTTAATGCCAAATTCAATTTCAATTTAAATTAAAATGAAATTTGCCGAGCACCTTACGGCACACATTACGCCGGAATGGCGTAAACAATACATCAACTATGAGGTAGGCAAATAGCTAAATACCTTAAAAATTCAAGTGTTTTCCACAAAAAGTTTTTCAAGTGAAAGTGAATGAAAATTTTCTTGTATCTATACATACATATGTATGTATATACATATAAACATCCATCTGATTGTTCAGCTGTATAATAAGTCGCGAACACAACAACAAAGAGTACAAAATAAACGATGACGTCACTGTTCCTTCGACAGCGTGAAAATGTTTTTGGGAAATTTTTCGGCGCCGGCGCAGTAAGCACCGCTCAGCTGTTTGCCGGGAAAATGTGCTTTTGGTTAAACATAAACAAATACATTGAAAAACACGTGCTATACAAACTATTTTGTTTACAAACAGTAGGTCAACAGGTATAAATGAGGTGGGTCATATGGGGCTGTGTTTTTTGTGGGGGTGCAATAGTCATACGTCATCAATATTGAACGGCAAACCTGCTAGACATACGAAAGTGAAAGTATATTAAATAAAACTGTTACATTTTTTTTAGTCAAAACATTGGGCGCCATTTCTTTAAATTGCCGTAAAATAATATCAGCAATATGTATTTTCGTTTAATGATTTACTCAGCTGATGTGAAAATGTAAGAGCTGGATGGGAACATATATTTCAAGTTCTTAACATGACAAGGCACACTTCATAATAAGGAAGTGTTTCAGTCCACGCATATATATCCAATATAAAATTTATAGAGCAGGGTATCCTTAAGACGACAAATATTTGTTAATCCCTTTGGTTGGCTTATGTCAGCTTCAATCAGATTTTTGAATTATGTTTAAGTCCACTGAGCCTGAACTGTTCCCATTTTTGCTAAATTTTACTTCGTTATATGCAGCTCTCATTTCGGTATATTTTCAAAATTGAAATTTTCCTATGGTGGAGTGCATAAAAAGTTTTGGCGAGCTAATTGCTCGGAGTAGTGCCATGTATCGGAATAGCCCCATGTATTTTGTTTGACCTATCAGTATGTTTATAAGAAAACCAGTGGGCCGCGTTGTACAGTCGGACGGGGCCGAACATACGATACCCTACTCAACTACCACGAAAATCTAACTTTCTGCGAATTTGTATTCCGAGTCTGGGCAATATTTCGTGATAGTTGCACCCTCTTGCCCGATTAGATATCAACAGCACCTCTATTTACACTGACATATTTTCCGAATGTAATTAATATTCAGTACATCCCTTCTAATTACTTGTCCAGATTCCCTTCACCCTGGATTGTGTTGTGATGTTCGGCTTTCAATTGTGGCCTATAGAAAAAAATAATTTTTCGGTCCACTTCGTCCCAAAATTATTATCTGATCATCACCGAAAATTATGGGCGTTGTCATTGACCATACCTGGATCCTCATTCCGCTCTCTAGTGTGCTAATGGGTTACTAAGTGTTACTAAGTATTTGAGTGTAACTTCCACATCCGAGTACATACGACAATATAATTGTATCAATTTAAAGGTCAACCACTCCTTTTGGATATATTATCTATCCTCGGTTCTATGTCCTTCAGGTGAAAATCTATGTAATTTGTAATTTTTTCACAAAAAATCAGGGTCCATTTGAACCGCTAAATATTGACCGATCTTTATCAAAACAGGCATGCTTATTCTGTAGGTATTCCCCTTCCTGTGGAAGAGCTGTCGTTATGCTACCTCCTATAGAAGACCTGCAGGACAAAATAATACCTACAGCTCTCCCAGAGGAAGAAAAATACCTCCAGATCTTCTATAGGAAGAAGAATACCTGAATAGAATACACATTTTGTAATTTTTTCACAAAAAATCAGGGTCCATTTGACCCGCTAAATATTGACCGATCTTTATCAAAACAGGCATGCTTATTCTGTAGGTATTCCCCTTCCTGTGGAAGAGCTGTCGTTATGCTACCTCCTATAGAAGACCTGCAGGACAAAATAATACCTACAGCTCTCCCAGAGGAAGAAAAATACCTCCAGATCTTCTATAGGAAGAAGAATACCTGCAGCTCTCCTATAGGAAGAAGAATACCTCCAGTTCTTCCATAGTAAGAAAAATAACTGCAGCTCATCCATAGGAAGAAGAAGACCTCTAGCTCTCCCAGAGGAAGACTATTCTGGATGTTTGAGCCAAAAATAAAGTTTCATTCCCTTAATATTAATCTTTTACCAAAAACAATAGGGGTCTTCATTGGCCAAAAACCATCCTACATGCGAAATTTCGTGAAGATGGGTCCATAACTGTGGCCTGTATCGTGTTTACAAATTATAATGGAAAGACGGACTCGACTAAAGGTCCTCCTGGGGCTGCACAAAGTTATAATCCCCTGACAACGTAGTTGTGTAGGATATAAAAACTATAATTTAGCTCGATATGCTTAACTATAGTTTTTTTCTTTTAATAATCCCTTTCCTTCTCTTTATTTTATAGGAAATGAAGGCAATGCTGTATGCAGCCGTTGAACAGGCACCGTCGGCCGAATTGGTAGATCCCGAAGTTCTAACACGTTATTTTGCCAAATTCGATGAGCAATTTTTTCATTATTGCGATAAGGAATTGGCAAAAATCAACACCTTCTATTCAGAGAAAATGGCAGAGGCAACTCGCAAATATGGCAATCTACGCAGTGAACTAACCGAAACTCTGGAAATGGGCACCGTGAAAAAACAGCCGAAATGGAAATCGAAAACCCCACTGGGCAAACGAAATGTACCGGCGCGTAAATTACAAGATTTAAAATTGGCATTTAGTGAATTCTATTTGGGATTGATATTGCTGCAAAATTATCAGAATCTTAATTTTACTGGCTTTCGGAAAATACTCAAGAAACATGACAAATTGTTGAATGTTGATTTCGGAGCGACGTGGCGTAAGGAGCACGTGGAAGCGGCCCATTTCTATGTTAATAAAGATATCGATCGTTTGATACAGGAAACAGAAACCGCCTTTACTCATGACATAGAGGGCGGTGATCGTCAGAAGGCCATGAAACGTTTAAGAGTACCACCGCTGGGCGAGGCACAAAGTCCTTGGACCACATTTAAAGTGGGATTATTTTCGGGTGCCTTTGTGGTCCTATTCATCACGGTCATACTTTCGGCCACATTCTATGGATTTGGAGAGGATTGGCGGGTGGGGTTACGTATGTTTCGTGGACCCTTCCTAATTATTGAATGTCTCTTTTTGTGGGGTGTCAATGTGTATGGATGGCGTTCGTCGGGTGTTAATCACGTTCTAATATTCGAATTAGATCCCCGAAATCATTTATCCGAACAGAATATAATGGAAATTGCATCTGTATTTGGTGTTCTATGGGCAATTTCTGTATTATTTTATATCTATTGTGATCTCCTGGGTATACCACAATATGCTCCGCCTATATTCCTGTACACGCTCATGGCGGCATTTCTGCTCAATCCAACAAAAACATTCTATCATGAAGCTCGCTATTGGTCGGTACGTGTGTTGAGTCGTGTGATTATGGCACCATTTTTCTTCGTAAATTTTGCGGATTTCTGGCTGGCCGATCAATTGAATAGTATTGTGCCGGCCTTTTTGGATATACCATTTGTGATATGTTACTTCCGACAGAATCCGTCGTGGAATAAAATGGGTTTAGGTAAGTAGGAGAATCACCTTAAAGGAGGTTTTGTTATATGTATATACATATATGATAAAAAAAAATGATATGATAATAAAATGGATAACACCATTTTCCCACCCTAATGAAGAGATTCGACAACAAATTTCACCTTGTTTAACATAAAATATTTACTTTGCCAATTTATTTTACTTTTCTCTTTTTTGCTTCTTTACAGAAGGTGGCCGTTATTGCATTGAGGATGTCTCCATTGTACGACCTATCGTTGCCCTGTTACCTGCCTATTTCCGTTTTGCTCAATGTATACGGCGTTTTCGTGATACTAAAGAGACCTTCCCACATTTGGTGAATGCTGCAAAATATGCTACATCATTTTTTGTGGTAATTTTCTCCTACCTATATCAGACCACAAATGGTGAGTAGAATTTAATGAAACGTAGTCTATTGGGACAGGGGTGAACCTGCCTAATGTAGTGGGTGGAACGCATGGGGTCAACGAAGTGTTTTTTTTTCATTGTCGAAGTTTCAATTTGGGGCAAAAAAAAAATATTCTCCTTAAGGGATTGATTAATTGTGGCGAATTTGTCTTTAAATATTTTATGCTGGCGAAAAAAAAAGATTTATATTGTTTTATTTCTCGGCATTTGTTGTTGTTGGTTATTTTGTCTTCTTTTTGGGTTTCCTAGCCGAAAACAAATAGAAAAATATTGGCTAATCATTGTTGGTTTTAGGATACTTAATGAATCATTTTTATGTGGTAGCCCAGGAAAGGGAATGTTGAGGTGGTCTTTGGAATATATGCATATACATTTAAATGAGCGGGAGGGGGTTTGATTGATGGGTTATGTTCGAAGATTAGAAGAAGATAGACAGACAATAAAATGTAAGCTGACTAATACAATTTTCTTTATCGTTTCGCTGGCAACCATTACCAAACCCCTAGATTTCCATAATACAATCAAAACAAAAAAATTGTATATTAGAATCTTTTGACATTTTTCATGAGTGGAGTTAAGTTCACCGCCCCTATGACAACATTGGTAATTAAGGGTTAAATTTTGGTTTTTAGCCTTTGTATCTCAAGGAAGGTATGTCAACAGGCGGACATTCAAAATCGACAATAAAATAAGTTTATTCTGATCAAGAATATATATACTTCGTGGGGTCAGTATTACCAAAACATTGTTAATAAAAAATGCTAGATTTTGTTCAAAAAAGTGCAGAAAGTGCTAAATAATTTAAAAAAGTGCCAAATAAAAGTGCTAAAAATTGTATAATCGAAATTAGAATCGGCTGTAATTTGATATTTTGGATTCTCGTTGGGTATAAATTTCCCCACCAAAAATTATAAATGTGGGTCTATGTTCCGGGATAGGCCCTAGAGAACGAATTTTGTGGACTTCGGTCACGTTTATCCATCAAACCGACTATAAAACGGTATATACATTAGAACTTTTTACCGGGTTAACCTTCTTTATGAGGATTTATTTGACATATATGCAAAGGAATTGACAATTGAAACCCACTAGGTTAACCAAATCCGGTTTAAGGTAAACGTACTATAATTTGAAACTTTTTATTTTAATAGTGTGTCAAATTTAATACCAGTTTTGTGGGGTTTTCGAGAATGGCATATATGCAGTAAACTGTCAAGGCGAAGGTTTATACAAAGTCCTCATATTAAAGTACTGCTCTATTTTCTTTACTTTGAAGATTTTAGACCCATTCTCTACATAGGTATAAAGGTTCCATCTTATTTGCGTTCTTTTAAGGTTTAGAGCCGTTGAGAGGTGTTTAAAGCCATGTCTGCGTTTGCATTTCCTGCAAAATTAATACGGCTATGCAGGATAACTTTAACTGGTACAATGTGAGCAGTTAAAGTGGGAAAGGACCTCTCGGAGCCTTTCAATACCGAACGAGGATTAAGACAAGATGACAATGTCGTGCGACCTGTTCAGCATTATGCTTGAAAAGGTCATACGAGATTCAAATGTGAACAGAACAGTACACCAAACAGCATATGTTAATCGCCTACGCTGACGACATCGACATAATGGGTCGATCATTGCGATCGGTAACAGCCACCTTTGAACGAATTGGGAAGGAGCCTGCCAAAGTGGGACTGGCAGTAAATGACAAAAAGACCATGCTGATGTTATCAACGCGCAAGAAGTCCATTAGACTCGGGCCAACTGTGAAACTTGAAAACTACAGCTTGGAGGTAGCGAACGATTCTATATACCTCGGTACTGCCACAAACAAAACTAATACAATCAGGATCAGTAAGGATCAATGATCCTTACTCCAAATTTCAGTATCCCAGCTCTATCAGTTCACCGAAAAATTCAAATTATAAACAAATTTAGTACAATTTAATACCGATAATTATGAATTTGCCAAACTACATCCAGTTTTAAATTTTCAGTGTTCCAGCTCTATCGGTTCACCCAAATCCACATGTGGTACCATTTTGTATACATTAGTACAAATTTCCAAAACTTTCTACATAGTCCAATCCAAAACCACAACAGTGACCCTAACTCTAAATTTCAGGATCCCAGCTCTATCGGTTCATCCAAATTGTACCAATTATAGTACGATTTAGTACTTTTCGTACACATAAGTAAAAAAAATCCAAAACCTCGTACATATCCCAATCCTATATTCCGACAGTAATGTTAATTTAAATTTTCAGGATTCCAACTCGATTTGTATCCCCAAATTACATTTGTACCGAATATAGTACCATATAGTACCTTTCGTATACATAAGTACACGCTTGCAAAGTTCCTTATATCGACCCTGCTTCTCAACCTATATTTGCATTCCAAATTTCAAGCTTTTTAGCTCTATCCATTCACATTCTACAAAACTGTACCAAACTTAGTACTTTTTAGTACTTATCCGATACTTATAGTTCGAATATTTCAAACTTAGTACATTTTAGTACATTTCGTATACTTAAAGTTCGAATGTTCAAAAACCCTTTGCTCATTTAAAATTACTCTCTTCCTATGTACCGTTACAATTGATGTCTTTCTTTTTGCTGAAAGACAGACAAAACTGTCAGAGGGTTAATATAAGAATTGTTTTTTTTCTAAACTATGTACCTTCATACGATTTTAAGTACAAAATTTTAGATTTTTATTCCGACAAAAATTTTTTTTGACACTGACAGGGTTAAGTGTTCTTGCTCTACCGGTTCGCAAATACAAATGGTACCACATTTAGTAATATTCGTAACGTTCTAGTTTGAATTTCCAAAAACCCAGCCTTATCTTTCACCTTTGGACCAAGAGCGACCCTCACCCCAAATTTCAAGATTTTAGCTTCAGCCGTTTCGTCTGGGCGTTGATGAATCGTTAAGTCAATCAATCAGTAAGTCAGTCAGTCAATCACTTTACTCTTTTATTAGTATAGATAGATATACAGACCACAGATCGGAAGTTTAAAAGCCCACTACCCAACAACATTCGCTGATGTATAGTTCCATGCGGCTTTGGAAACCACATTTCATGTTTATAGTGGTGGGTTATAACATCTTTTCCTCTTTGTACTTTTATTTCTAACACATAAAAAGTGCCCAAAGAACAAACATATAATACTTTTTATGTACTCCACTGTATGTGGTTCATACGCTAATTATACCTAACACTTACTGCGGTATACCGTACTAGATCCTCTGAATGTTAGGTAGACTGCTCATTTATTATATAAAATTGTTCGAATTATTTATGGCGTAAAACATTGTCCGTTATCCTTGACTGTTATATGTATGTAGCATCCTGCAGATAACAATATTATAATGAAAGAAAAATTGAGTTCATTTACTACTTTTACCTCAATTGCTATGAAATTTGCTGTAACCAGACTAACTGCTCATTAAAATACAAAACATGTTGCACATGTTTAATTTTCAGAACTTTTGCTTAATTCGTCTATGAGTATTAAATGAAATGATGGTAACAATTTTTTATGTGTACATACATACATTTTTCCCTCGTGTAAAAACACATGACCTTGAAGGTGGAAAAAAGACTTAAAGGTGCCCAGCTGAGAAATGTTTCACTAAAACGATGTTTGCAAACATTTTATTACATAATAACAGTTTTCATTCTCCTTCGTGGAGGATAGCGAAATGTTGAGTCATTGGTGTGTAAAATGTGTAAACAATTCTTAAATGGGACAATAAGTAAGCAAATGGAAAATAACCAAAATACCGACTAATGAGAGGGGCATACCGAACCACGAAAATCTAACTTTCAGTATTTTTGCAACCTCTTGACTGATTATAGGTCAACAGCTCTACTTTCTAACCCTGGTATATTTTCCAAATCTTATTTTCCCAGGTAAATATTTACGCCATAAAATACAATTTTTTATCATTTTAGGTTTTGGTTGATTTGACCCTCGTAATATTGACCGATCATCATCTAAACAGCCGTTCTAAGTATTTGGCCAGATCCCCTACGCCGCGTATTATAATGGTCTCTAGAGTGACTAGCAATTCAAAGATAAAAATAAAATTTTCGGTATCACCGACAATTATAGGCGTTGTCATTGTCCATAATTGTAACTTCATGTAAAACTTTAAAGGGATCAGCACGGCATTTTCGTCTGGGTAATAGTACAGCAAAACAATGTTATAACACATAGGCACATTCAATATTATGTTGGGGAAAAAGGAATCCATTATTTTTTTCGGCATATGGCTGTACTGATAGATTTCTCGTAAATATCGATTACACAATTTCAGTTTTTTGCTTGTTGGAGTAAAAAACTTATTTTGCTGTTTTTTGTTTGGTGCATTCAGTTGTGAGTTACAGGGTATTGGAAATAGAAGTGAACAAAGAGAAAAATCAGTACATTGTACAGTTTTTCATTGAAAAAGGCGAAAATGTAAGCCAATCGGCTGAAGTTGTGAATGGGGTTCATGGTTCCGATACTGTTACGGTTTCGTAGATTCCGTCCAGGAATTTTAGATGTTAAAGATGCACCTCACACAGGCCTACCTGTCGCCGTCCATAAAATCGGAGAAATTGTAGAAGTTCACTGGCATGTTAGCAGTCGTAACATCGCCGAGGAGCTAAAAATCGCCCATAACTGTTTTAAACTATTTACACAAAAAATGGATTTATTTTTCCCCAACTTAATATTTACCTATAACTCCCACATACAACAATATAATTGGCATCAATAAGGGTCAAGAACTCCACTTGGATATACTATCAACTTATCGGGCCTATGACCATCAAGAGTAAAAATATACGCCCAGAATACAAATATTGTCATTTTTTACACAAAACTCTGGATCTAGCTGAACCGCTAAATATTGACCGATCTTTATCAAAAAGTCTAGATTATTCTTTGGCCACATTCCATCCCATGGTGTAATATTTCGTGGGGTTTGGGTCA